GAGTTCCTTGTTCATTTTGAATATTATCTTTGTACTCATAAATCTAATATTAGTGTACAGACTAACGTTTTCAGTTTTAGGGAAACTGAGCTGTGTATTTCTGTAGTCTAACATTAAAGAACTTGCAGACTTAGGTTGGAAGCCATTACCTGGGAAAGATGGTTTGCAGGTAATGTGTGGAGAGGGGGAAACACCTCCCCAGAATGCTTTGAGCATCTGGTGAGAATCTTGCCCCTTTCCATTGACTGAACAGTGAAGCTGAAGTTAGATAACATATTCACAGCCCTTCACACATTTGCATTAATTTCCATTTGTTCTCAATTTCACTTCACCACACAGAATTAGTGTGTTGAATAGTTAAATAGCAGGGGTTTTAAAGATAATTCTCTGCTAGTGTTAACTTGAGAATTTAACCTCAATTTATCTAATTCTAGGACTTTTCTTCACCACTTGCTCTTGGAGAATCCAGGACTCTGACATTTAGAACAGTATCCCAACATGTGTAATATTAATGTGTATAATAAATGGGACAGAGCACCTGCTCTTTGCTTCTGCACTTCTGCTTTGCTGTTGGGGTTTTTCGGTTGGTTGGTTGGGTTTTAGTACTCTGTAATTTGTGAATGAGGAAGATCCTTGTGATCTAATAGCAGTGAGATTGATTTTAGGGGCTTTTTGCTAAATAATTCTGCTGCCAACAAAATTAATCCCTGATTGCAGAACAGGGCAGCAGATGAGCTGTTGAGTCCTTTGGAAAACTTCAAATAACGCTGTGCAAGTATGAAACTGCAATCACATGTATGTGATTGCATTACTACCCGTTTAAGTACTGTGGATTGAGTATTTCCCCCCCAGTAGACTATATTTCCACATATTAACAGTGTTTTCTCACGTATTGTATTTGAAATGTGAAGCCTGATGCAAAATAATTGAACACACAGTGTACATAGCCCTGAAACATTGGGGCATCCCTCTGCAGTCAGTAAGAGAGAGAAACCACAGCTTTCCTTTGAGATAGGTATGTAGCTGTTGGTTTCTATATTGCTGGTTTCCTGCTCCTTCTCCCCTCTTGTGGCTTACTGTGGCTGGTGTTGCTGCCTGTTTGTCTCCTTATCTGGGGAACATACAGTTACCTTTCAGGTAATGTGAACTCAGGACTACCAAGACTCTCTTATGATTGTTATTACTATGCCAATTTGGCCAAATTCAAAGAGCAAAGTTTTAAAAGCAGGCACCCTTTCTGGAAGCTCAACTAAAACCTGTGTGTCCTTGGCTCCTGGGCAGCAAAGGTAAATGGTTATTAGGTAGCACTTGGTGTTTTCCTGTTCATGTTGTTAATGAGAGGTAAGCCATGAATAGTGTCATTAAGTGTGCTACTTTGATCAAGAAGAGGGATCCAAAATTTCTTTGGACATTGCATTACTAGGGAATGATGAAGCTGGACTTTGCTTGACTTTTTGCAAACTCTAAATGGAAAGACAAATACGGCAAGCAGGTATGCTTCACTTTCAGCTTTGAGTCTTCCTATATAGATACTATAGGTTATTTTCTGTAAAGAACGTTGTTCTCTTGTAGTTTTTAATTTCTGTTCTAAAATGAAATTTTAGAAAGTCTCTTTTTGCTGGAAATATAGCAACCCTTTTATGAAGGACAGGAATACAACAATATGTGTGCTTTCTCTGTCTTTTCGAACACCTTGCAGAGGAGTGTGTCCTGATATTTTGTTGACTTTGAGGGGGAAGAGTGTTTTGCACAGAGATTAGAAAAAAAATACTGTGCTTACTATAATACTCTGACGAGATTGCTGGAAGAACAATAAAGCTTTCTCGGGAACCTTTATCTGAAAAATAAATCTGTGCAGATGAATTATTTCAGTGGCAGATGTCCATTGCTAAGCTTTACAAATTTAGGGCAGTTCTGTGGGGAATCCCTAAATTCAGTCTTGCAATTGTAGTCAATAATTGTTATAGACAATAAATGGTGGCTTTTATCTTTGTTTATCAGTAGTCAAACATTCTGTTTCCTCTACTGAAAAATAAATAATTTTATCTTATTAGTTGAAGCAATTGAATCAATAGTTTTCTCTGCTCAATATCTGCTATTACCTTAGCGTCGGAAATAACTGGAATTTGTAAATTGCAAACCCATTTGGAAACATGATATATAGTCTTATAAACCTTAAATGAAAAATTTCCCTGGGATTTTTGTTGGGTTGTTGTTTTTTGGTTTGTTGTTTTTTGGGGTTTTTCCCTCTAGCGAACAGCGTGTTAGCAAGTATAGAATCAGATTTTGCATGGATTGGCTTGCTCTATCCCCACAGCAGAGGCAACTAATGGAAATATGAAATACTTTGCTTTCTGGCAGAACTCCATATCAATTTACAGCCGTGTGTGTGCATGAAATCCCCAAAACATCTTCAATGTGACTTGGAATGAGTTTCTTTAAATGTTGTTGCACCCTTCATTGCCTCTTCCTCTACTTTTACCTCCTTTTTTTTTTTTTTTTGTTTGTTTTTTGTTGTTGTTGTTTGTTTTGTTTTGTTTTTTGTTGGTTTTGTTTGTTTGTTTGTTTGTTTTTTAATGAAATGTCTTACAGTAAGGAAAGCCTGAAAGGTTTTTGGTGATAGTTTTTTTAAGGACTAGGAAGATATTCTGGGTTAATCCTGACTGGGAAATATCAAGTCAGTTCTTGTTTTGCCTTTGCTTAAAACTATCAGAAATGTGAACTGGTTTTTGCTGGAAGCTGCACTGCTGTATGTGAGCCTTTAGAAACACTGTAGGTGAAATCTCTCTGGCTGTGAGAAGTTTATTAGCTTTCATCTTAGAATCTGCAGTTTGACTGCAAGTGTGCTCATTTTAAGTTGTCGCTGTAGAAAAGCATTGATTTGGCATGGCTCCAAACTCATTTATTGGCCCCTGGGCAATAAGATTGGGTCCTGTCTTACTTCAGTCTTCTCTATCCTAAAAACTGCATTTTGCTTTGCAAAATATTATGTCAATAAATGGATAAAAGAGTAGAAAATGTAGATTTATATGTTTAAATGACTTAGCTCTGAAAGTAGATTATTCATTAAGCTTTACCAAATATTTAGAAGGAAAAAAAAAAGCAAATGCCAAGAGATCAAAGAGCCTGAATAAAAATATTCTGAATAAAAAATGTAAATATTCTAAAAATCTTGTGCTGCTGCTGTCTCAGCTGAAATGCAGAAGAACCGAAAAGGTTTCAGGATATGCAGGGAGAAAAAAAGTTTTGAGAATGTGGCCTTTCAGGAAAAATTTGAAACAGCTTGTTTTATTTAGTTCAGGACAGAGAAGAATGAGCAGAGCCTAATAATGATATGAAGTACTTAGCAGTTAAAAAAAAAAAAAAAAAAAAAAAAAAAAAAAAAAAAAAAAAAAAAAAAAAAAAAAAAAAAAAAAAAAAAAAAAAAAAAAAAGAAGTAAAAAAGAACAGAGTAACAGACAGTAATTGATTGTTTTCAGTGCCTGCTAGATTTAGATTAAGACTGAGATGCTTAATTTTCTCTGGACATAAAACTAACTACAGATGCAGGAATGAGCTTTAATATTTAGGTTGCAATTATTACTAAGTAGATAAGAGCAAGGGTTACATGACTCCTGCCATACAGCCCATTACTCAGTTCAGGCTGTTATTAGAACAGCTACAGAGCTTCATCTTGGAATCCATCTGTTGGAAGGACAGTGCAGGTCTCCCAATGCCATGACACAGCTTCCCTTTGCCCTTATTGCAGACTGTTACTTGGACTGTTTCCTCAAGATTGTAAACATTGTTGATTTCTGCATTAGCTACCTAGGGAGGTCTTTATCCCTGTCACTGGAGAGAGTTAGAAACACATTAGACATCTGTCCTGAATAGCCTGAAATGTATTTTATCTTGTCTTGGAAAAGGTAAATGGAGCTGCTGATCTCTGTTGGTTGCCTCAGAATGATTTCCAACAATTATTAAAAAATGTGCTTCTGCACATTCAAAAAATTCTTTCACTTCTAAACTTGTTATTCAAATGGTTTTTGCTCTTATTTCACCTGACGGCAAAACAGTTCTGCAGAAAGTGAAGGTGGACCCTTGAGTGAATTCAGCTGAATGTTCTCTCTGTGAAAGAAAACATGTAAACGTGCAACTATATTATCCTCATACTGAAGGGCAGCACTGTGATGGGAGCTGCATCTGCAGTCGTGGTATTTGCAAAATGGAACACTTGTGTGTGGACTTGGGAATGACTTCAGAAATGTCTGTAGCAAGCACGTATGCCAGCAGAATATCAGGTAGTGTGTTCATATCTGTGTGCTCATTTCTGTGCTTGTATCCAAAGCTGTGTAGTATTTCTTCTTTCTTCAGAATTTTCTCAACTCTTTTTAATTACTAAGTAATTCAGAAATTGTATGTGATAGTTAACAAGGTACTTCCAATTTTCTAGGTTAGATAATGGATGTAATATTTAATTGTGGCCTTCTAGGGCAGATTGGAAGGTTGAAAACGCGTTTTTGGAAATGCTTTTAACACATTTACATTATCAGTGCCAGTGTATAGACTGACTGTTTTGAAAACTGATTGTGAATTGTATAGATCCTAAAAAAGATAGTAATTTGTAGCAATTTTCTATTTTCCTTTGCAGAAGTGTCACTCCTGTTGGGCACTGACTGTAGCTGCACCATAAGTTGTATCTTGGTCTAATACTGCATCAAGAGCTAGTGAAGGATAGTGGAATACTTTAAAGTGCCTATATCAAGATTTCATTACCTCAAACACTTGACATTAAATAGTGGCTTCAGCATATTCATATGCAAAATGCAGATAAACTTACATTGTTCTATATGAAGTATTAGTAGACATTCCAAAGAATATATGTGTTTACCTTATAAAAAAGTATAGGAAAAAAATGAAAAAAACCCCCAGTAATTACTATTAAATCAATCCTGTTTAGACTCCAGGCTTTTTAGCTGAAGTGACGCCTTTATTTTCAAGAAACCAAAGACAGAAGTAACTCAAGCCAAGGAACTATCAAATGGCTCTTTTTCCTCTGGAGTCCCATGCTGTCTGACCGGGGCCAAATGTTCTTTGTGGTATTTAGCAGTAATTGCAGCATAAGCACAACCATAAACAGCAGCTGCCAGCATCATTAGACACACAATTCCACAGACAACTCCGGTGATTACGACAGTGGCGATGGCGTGGCGCAGGCTTACGGGCCTTGGCTTGGGTTTGGGCTCGCAGCTCACGCGGCCGCTCTCGCCGTGCTCGCCGTGGGGGCCGAACTTCGGGGAGCTCCTGTGCTCCCAGCTGTGGTGGTGAGTGCTGGCCAGGTGGACGTGAGCTGTCCTGAGGGGGCACGCCCCAAACAGCTCGTAGGGAACTTTGAGCAGGTCCTTTCCCTTCCGAATCCCCGGAGCCGCGCAGATAATGCCATCGCTTATTCCTCCTGAAAAACAAAACCAAAAAAACCCACCACACAAATTAAATTAATTATGATATTAAGATTTGATGGTTTCCAGGTTATCTTAATGTAAAAATAACAGAAACCTGAAGTAAATTTATCATCAGCTTCAATTTCAGAATTTTAAAGATTTATAACTGTATTTTAAAGACCATTTTACAGTTAGGTCAGTGGTGAGATTATTACACTTTAACACTCATATAAGAGAGTATTTTCAAGAAGCATTTCATCAGGAATTGAGTTATCTGTGATTTTATGGATGTAAAAGTAAAAAAAAACCAATAGTGGTAGAAAATTAAGAACTAAGTCATAGATGAAAACAAAGAGGTATTGTTAGCAGCAAATTTGGTTTGTTGAAATTCATACCATTGCTTCTTTTTTATAATGAGGAAGGGAAACAATATATGTAGAAAGGATTTCCCACTTTATTGAAATAGTCATTGTTCTGACATCATATGCTAACCATAAGGCAAAGAGAAAGTTTGTAGGGATACATAAGAAATTTTTGCAGCAAGGCTCATGATAAGAAAATACACAGAGATATAATGAGTTAAGGTTAATCAACCTATTGTCCTGCTCAAATGTTAAATTTCATGATTGCTTAGAGCCAGCTTCCACTCTCTCCCAGAGGATGTTTTTAGTATAACGGGCAGTGAAATAGGAAGCCACAGTCCTGGTCAACCACACAGTTGTTCTTCAGCATGTGGAGTGTAGATCTCAGGTCCCTAATTAGTCAATACACATGGTTTTAGGGGTAGTGGGTCAAGGAGTCCACAAAGCCAAAAATGATGATTACATATTTTTTAAAATTAACTAGTCAAATTATCTGAATTTTCTTTCTCTTCTGTAGCCAAATAATCCACCTTTCAGCTAAAGCCAGGCACAGAAATTTTCATCCTGAAAGGACTTTGAGAAAGTAGCAAATACAGACGGACCCAGATTGAAATCTGGAGACTGCTCCACAAACACTAGTGATATTCCAAGACAGAACTGGGCACAGTAGATCTCTTGGCTTTTAACAGCCAAACCAAAGCATGGTTCCAAATACCTCCGGTGTGTTAGTTCGAATGTACACATAGATAAAAAATCCAAATCCTGCGAGTCTTTAAAATTGGCCTTCCTTTAAAACTTGTTACTAAAATGAATATCACTGAATTTAATTAATCTGTCAGTGTTTGGAAAGATGGAAGGGCATCACTAAATTTCTAAACAACGTACCTTTTTGAAATAAGTTACAATATTTATGCTGCTTGCAGAGTAATTAAGATAATCTGATATGTTTATCTTGGATCATTACATTCTTCTGCACAGAGAAGTCAACCCCTGCTGGATTTCTTGTAGGGAATAGTTCCAGCATAATAAAAATAAATCCCTATGATAATGTAATATTTTACCAATCAAAAATATTAAGATTTTAACACCTAGAGGAGTTCAGCCTTTTCTCTTTTCCGTAAGGTTGCTTCTGGTAGTGAATTTACCTCATCCAAAGATTACTCCAGTATTAACTTTGTCACTGCATAGCCAGTACAGTTTTTCAGTTGGCCTGTAGAGTTCTGATCCCTGAAAATGGCATTCCACTCAGTCATAGGCCACATGGACCACTTTCATATATGCTATTTTGCAACCTGCTCCATGTCACTTCCATGTACAGACAGGTAATCAGCAGTTTGGTCACATACAAGCCTCAAAGCCTCATTTAGAAAAAAGAAAATTGCCCTGCTGTTCTGAATTCTCAATCTGAACATACCTCCTGGAAGAAATAAATTACTTTCTTTTAATACTTAATTCCTTTAGAATTAAATCATATTATCTTTTTTACAGCATAACTCATGAATATATTTAAAAGCAGGTGTGAGCAAAATATGGCTACTTCTATTTATAAAATTCACTTTTCCCTCTGTGATGCCATTACACATTTCTGTCAGGAAATTGCCAATGAATTTAGTACCGCTTCTAGTTAGCAACAAATTAAGAAGCAACACTAGGTATTCTTAAAATATTAAAGAACTGCTAAGTGATAATTGATAGAGGAACTATAATCCTGAGTTCTCCAGAGTTTAATTGGCTGTGATATCTCGATGTTTACCATCATGCAACAATGGAAAAACTTTTAAACAGTAGGTTAGTTTCTAGCAAAAATTCACTGGTAGAATCAAAGCAAGAGTATGTGCATGAATATATTTGTTATATATAAAGATATGAATATAAATGCATGCACACACTGCACGTTTGCAGAACCCATCTCTACACACTGTGTGGTTGTGTGACTGTACTTTCTCTGTGTGCTAATACAAAGTTCTGCTCTGATTCTAGTTTGCCAATTGTATTTATGAAAGCACTTATATTCTGACCTATGCACAAGGATATATTTTAGTGTGTTTATTTGAGGGAGTGATTTAAGATGTGGGGTAAATTTTTAAGCCGTGGTAGGGAAGATAAGTTAGACGCTGGTTAAATGTTCTCATGTGCACTGTAACTAGTGAGAAAAATTCCTTACCTCTGTACAGAAAGCTCTCCAGCCACAGTTTCAGACCAAAGACGTTACAATTACATTGCCAGGGATTATCTTTGAAGAGAACCACTTTCAGATTTGGAAGTGACTCCAGCAGAACTCTTTCCATTTTCTGAAGTTTGTTATGCTTCAAAGAGAGCAATGTTATATTCCCTGTGCTGTTTCCAAAAGTCTCAGGCAAACGTATAATGCTGTTGGATGACAAGTCCAGTTCTTTTAGGTGTGGGAGGAAACTGAAAGTCTTGTTTTCTATATAATGAATCAAATTTCTGGTTAAGTTCAGCACCTGTAGATACCGTAATTTCTGGAAAGCACCAGGTGCCACACTTGAGAGAGAATTATTAGACAAGTCTAAGATTTTGAGTAGCGGCGTTCCAGTGAATGAGTTTGGGTTGATTCTCCAGATACGGTTATTCTGCAACTGTAGTATCTGAATTTCAGGAGGTAAACGAGGAGGAATTTCAGTAAATCCTCTGTTCTTGCAGTCTGCAGTCTTTGAAGCTGTATGGCACAGGCATTTGTCGGGGCATCCATGAGCTGCATGTGTTAACAAGATGACACTCAACACCAAAAGCCAGTCGCCTGTATCAAAAGTGAAAGATTTAAACTGTTTGTCTTTTGGCAATATACAGGACATAAACGTGGCCAGAAGATATACAGTTTCATAATAAACATTAACTTAGATAACTTAAAGAGAATGCATTTCTTTTACAATACATGAGTAAATTGCAATAGTATTGAAGTACTTTTTTAATGCAGAAGGAAGTTAGTGCTCCCATGGTCTTAAAATGAAGCAGTGTCTTTATCTTAAGTACAAATGGTTTTCAGGAGTATTTGCCATTAGCAGACCAGTGATGTTTGAAGGGAATGTTACAGAGTTTCTAAAATTATTGAATTGAAATGTCTCTCTGTGGTAGTAAAAAATTTAAGGCATCTTGTGTCAGAAGAATTACAACTTGTATTTTTCTGTGGTTTTACTAATATTACTGCCTAAAAGAATTAAGTCAATGTTAACATCAAAAAATAACAAGCTTCAAAGACATTGCTATAAAAGCAATTCACAGTAGTTTTTCAGCAATCCAGATTCTGTAAGTATGTTCTTTAAAATATCTATGCTTATGCTTTTTGCTTAAATTCCCTTATCTGAATACCAGCTGTACTTCCTATAGATACAGGTTGCTACACAATCAACAGACATTTGTCAACAGGCTTTTAAAAGATAAATCAGTTGACAGAGGTACTTAGTATTTACTATTTATAATTATCTGCTGTTCTCTGATGTTTTTGTGGTTTTAACTAAAAAAAAAAACAAACCCACTTTTTACCTTTTATATCTTCATAATGATCTTGACTTTGAAAACAAGGTGCCACTTGAATCTCTGTTCATATACACATCATGACTTTTTTTTTATAAACAAGAATCAGATGATGTTGAATAATTAGATTTTAAATCACTAGAGAAAGCCAGAATGATAAATCTTTCTGTAACATTGTTTTTGAGATGCCTCAAATAATTATTACTATTTATTATTATTTTAAAGTGCAAAATGTTTTATCTTGTTGCCACTTGAAACTTTTGGAAATTAGTAGACTGGTTATTGACTTAGAGAGATAAAACCTTAATTGCTATCAGGGAATATCATATTAGTCGAATAACAGTGTATTATTATAGTATGAAATCTGATAAATGTATAAATCAAAGTTTCATTTTGAGACTACAGTTTAAGGCATAAGCTATTCACTAATTTTCACTTAAAATTGTATTTATATTAAAATTATACATGATCTTCTGCAATACTGAATTCTTGCTTGTGGAATTCACTTGAAAGAATTCAGCATTCCTGCAAGCAAGGTAAGCAATGCTTTCAGTTCATTACGCTGTTCTGCAACAGTTGGCTTTGGAAACAGTCACAGTGTCCAGTGTGGAATGAAAATAAACACGGCAATGAAATGCTTAGAGAACAGAAAATTTACATTATTAATCTGAATGCTTCAGTATCTCACCTTTCATTCCGCTTTGTTGTTCCTCCCCTCCTCTGGAAGGAGACTCAGTCCAGATTTCTGATGTAGAACAGTAACAGACAGTGTCCTGATTCCCACTTCAAATCTGTAACATGCTCATCTGGTTTCCTTTCCGTCAGTTTTGGAGGGTTTTTTTAAATGATATCTCTGGCTTTTGTAGCAGTGCAATTGCTTCTAGTCAGTTACTCTATCAGCCCCTATTTTTTTCTTTATCACAATCTTGCATCCCATCCCACCCCCCACCCCCTCCCCCAGCTTTTATGACTCTCAGAGACTTACTGTGCCTCTTAATCAGTCAACAAGCCATGCAAGGAGTGTCTGCCCAAGTCTAACTGGACAGCTGTAATGTACAAATAATGCCCTGATAGCCTTGCCTTTTCAATTTATTTAATCTGCATCAACTGCAAAGCACAAAAATAAAGCTGCCTTTTCATATCCAGTATGGTTTCTGAATTCTGGTGGATTATTAACTGTGCCGTGTCAATTTTTGCAAGATCAGGTGACTCTGAATATGGATTCCGATTATCCTGGGCTGTGACTGGAGGCACTGGAGTGTATAATATCACTACGAATAGACCTGTGGGTTGATGACATCGTTTTGACAGTGCCCTTATTTGCTCTTTTAAGCTTATTCATCTGACATCCATTAGTTGTGCTGACAGGAAGTTATTCCATGGGAATACAGAACTGGTGGCTCCTTCTGTAAAATGGCACACACACTGCTATAGTCACCAAGAATATTGAACAAATTAATTTATTTTCCAAGATATTGGAAAGAAGTAGCAGATGATACTAAAAATTGTGGTTTGTGTGTTCATGTGGTGCCTTGACTTGTCTCTTTGTTATTTCCTCAGTATAACTCATTCATACTGTGCCATCTACAGCAGTAAAAGGATAAATGACTTGTGACTATGAAGGAACTCAAAGGTGTTGAAAGGCATGAGAGATCTGGTATATAATTAAGTCCTTCCAGGCCATATGGTCACTCCATCTGTTAGCTGACCTATGGAGAGGGAAGTTTTTCAATCAAAAGCTTTCAGACCTATTCTTAAATGTAATGTAGCTTTCTTGGGTACAAATTCTGCTTTAGATGCTTTTGAAAAGATCACACAAAGCTCGCTTTCTAGGGCAGAATTTATATACTGTAAGCAATGCTATGAAAGGAATTATAGAAAAGTCAGATCCGAAGGTCCAAACTGCTGCTTAACACATCTGGTCTTTAGCAGAGGTTATCCAGGGTCCTGTCAAGCTGTGACTTGGATATTTCCAGTTATGGAAATTCTATCACTTCCCTGTGAAACCTACTCCAATGTGTACTTGTCCTCAGAATTAATAATTTTGTCTTGCATCCAGTTAGAGATTTCCTTGGAGCAGCTTGTGTCCCTCACCTCTTGTCCTGTCGCTAATGCATCCCTGTGAAGAAAGTAACCCCCTCCTCTCCACAGCTCCCTTTTGGTTATCGAAGGTCTGTGTTTAGCCCCTGCCACCCTCGCTCACAGGCCAGAGCTGTGACTGTTACTATTTTATGCTTTGCCGAATTGTTTCTGACACCAGTCAAGAGACCCAAAGAGCAGTGAAGGAGAACATAGAACAACTGGCATTCTGTAAAGTAAACATGATTGCTCATCTTGAAGATCCCAGGATTATTGCTGTGAGTGGCAGACCATACTATCCTTGACACTCTTGATGAATGACACATCATCCTGATACAGGATAAAGGCTGAGATTCAGTGCAGAGCAATACTGTAGATGTAGATAACCTGGTACCACAGTCATACTGATTAACCCCAACTTTACAAATAGAGGGGGAGAGATGCTTTAACATCAGCCATGCCATACTTTAAATTAATGTCAGGTTAATGCAAAAAGCTTTTCTAACAAACATATAAACAGACCTGTCTTAAATAGTACTGGTGGATCATTTTAGATAGAACTAAATGTAAAAAGGACTATAATAAAATATCAATATCCTTAGAATTTGTATGAATACTCTTTCAAAGAACAAAGTTAGGTCAGCTACTTGTTGCTTGAGATGACATCCCTCTCTCATGGAATAACTCATCCCTTGTACCAGTGACACCTCTTTTCATGACTTTTGATTATTTTGCAGGAAATACTAGCTATTATGTTAATTTTTTTCTAGTCTGATAAGACTAATTCATACTTTTAAATTCCCTTTGGTATCTAAAATTTTATTTGACTCATGAATTCAAAGTTTATTTTTAAAGTTATTCTCAATTTTAACTAATGTTTCCTGACCAGGTGGGTTTACAAGCTCCCACAGTAGTTTATTTCATCTAGCAGTGGACTTAAAGAATGTCTCTTAACTGCCTCTCCTATTTTAGGTAAATCTTTGCAAATATAATTGTATTATTTTTAGCATGCACCATATTAAAGAGATCTTCATAAGACAAGGTCAGTGAAAGTTAAACACTGTGGGAGGTTCAGTTCCAGCAATAATGCAGAGGTTGTTTTATTTACTCAGAATCAGGATGTAAGAAGTTATTACTTTTTAAAAAATCTTCATGCTGGGCTCAGATTTGGAAACATATCATTAAATCTGTCGATTGGCTTTTCATATAGATGTGGCTATTTTTTCCTTGTATTGAGAACTCTGAATGCACGTGTTTTGTAAACAGAAGTTTCCCCAACCTATAATCCTTGTCCTATTCCCATTTATTAGCAATAATACTTTGGTTGTGACAGAGAAGTCTGATGTGGTGAAAATTATAGTTGTGTCACAGGTAGAGATTTGCCAGAAACAGAATAACCATGAAATGTACTCCACTTCTGGCCTTTTGAACCACCAGCAGGATTCTTTTCAGTTGTCTGATGTGGTGCAGCAACTGTGTTATTGTAACTTCTTAAATTAGCTTGTACCTTGTTGTAACAAGGTGTTTCCCATTGCAGAGAGCGAGACAGCCCGATGAACTAATATCCGATCCCTCTTGGCTGGTGGGGGCAGTTCTGTCTCCGCTTTGCCAGCAAACTCTTTGTTGCAGCAATTACTGCCATCTGCTTCAAGGGAGCCGTATGTGTAAGAATCATCTCTTCTACAGAAGAACATTATGTTAATTAAACTCTAGCAGAAAGGAAACAATTTAAATATTTCAAATATTTAAAAGCTGCAGGATTTGAATTCCACTGTATTGTATATCGAGTCCAGGCAGACACGATTACATTAAAAAAAGTTCCCAAGACCACAGCAGACAATTCCTATACATAATCTTTATTAGATTTGTGTTCCTTATAGTGGAAAATAGTATAGCATAGTATAGCTTTTGAGTGGGAAGGAATTAAAACTGAGATACTTTCAGGGAAACAGCGTGTGCTTTCTCCTGACTAACATGCGTCTCCAGATTGGTAAAACAGCCAAGCTCTTGCTGAAGACCTTAAATAAAACTTTGGGCAATGCAAACTCATCTTCATTTTGGTTCAGGACAAAATAAAATTTGTATTTGTTAGTGAAACAACCCATACCTCTGCTGTTAAAAGTCTTCCCTTTTAACTGGCACTTAAAAAAATACAGTAGTCTGTCATGGAGAAGGAGCTTATTCCTTTCCCAGCTGAGTCAGAATGCTGTGCAAACAAAGATGACAGGACATAAGAAACTCATGAGTCCCTCATGCTTTTATTTCTACAAGGACAGTCCTTGTACTCTAAGAGCTCAGGACTCTTTCAACTTTTTCCTGGCAGAGTACTACGTTTTCAAAAGTTGACAGAACATAGAGGAAGGCCCTGGATCCTTCAGGCTGCCTTTTAGAAAAGAAGTATAAGCCAGTGGATCAGACTAAATTTGGCTCAAGGAAGATTTATAGCTTAAAAACCTGACCATATTTTCCACAAGAGGTAGGTGTGTGAATTTCTTCAGACATCCTATTGCTTAGATAGGATATAAGGGGAGTAATAGCAGCAAGAATTTATTAACATCAGATGTTGGTTATCAAGATATATGATTATCAGGTATAAGGAGACACCATGATGTCTAAAAAGTTCTTTGTGTCTTCCTTGTCCCTTCAGGTGGGAATTAATATTGTGTAGCTCTAGAAAGGAGAAAACAGGCAGACAATTGTGATTTTGTAGAGGGGCAGAGCCCAGTTTTCTTCTTTCTAGTGGCTTGTTTTGCCTTACCTAGATACATCTGGTACTTGTTTATACAGTGTGTAATTAATCTATGAAATGCATTGTTGGAAGTTATCCTTGGGCTAGAAGATTAGTAGGATTCATACATAATCTGGAGCTGTAGTTACCTCATGGGGCAAAAAAAAAAAATTTAGAAAGGATATAAACTTTCACTCATAAGGGCTTTAATCAACCACTAATGGCACAAGTTATGGAGAAAAACCTTTCCCTGTGGGCAGGGTTTTTTTCCATAATTATTATTTATGGGAATTTTTACACCTTCCTCTGACACCTCTAGAAGAGGCCAATGTGTGAGATATAATAGTGGACTAGATGAACTGCAACATGCTGTATTCCAGGTGGGAATTTGCAGTGGGGTAAGGGGTAGCTGGGCAGCCTGACAGCCTGGCACTTAGACAAGCTGCAGACTGGGGAGGTGTGTGCTGCTGTGCCCCTGGTACCGCTGGGGCTGCTGCTCTGAGCACCTTCTCCATTTCAGTCAGAACTTTCTTCTTCCCTAGACCACTGTTCTGATTTGGACTGGAAAATCCTTTTAATATTCATATCCAGGTCTTTTCTAACCAGGTCTGTATTCATAATCTGTAAACCGACTGTTTAGGTCCTCTGTCTGGAGTTTTTTCATTTAGTTTTTTTTCTTTTCTCATTGTAGGAGTGTTAGACTTTCAATCCAGTAGGCAGATCACTCAGGAATTTGTTCTGATGTTATTACTAATATAATGCAGTTAGAAGATACTTTGGCTTGTACTCCTTTTCCTATAACTAAATGAGCAGAACTATGTGAAGGTGAGAAGGGCTTACCTGGTAAATGCTGAAACACCAACCTTACAGTATGCTTTGGTAGATAGATAAATTACCAGAGTGGATGCAAGGCCTTCAGGATGAGGAGAAGCACAGGGAATAGAGATGCTGGGCCTCTCTACCTTATCTGCAAGTTAGATGAAGGTGCAGCAAGGGGCAGATTATGTGTCAGCAGAGTATTTATTCCATCACAAATAGCAACAGGGGGGGCAGATTCGATTTTCAATAATTTCCTGACTAATGTCTACTACCTGTTATGCATGCTGAGCATCCACAGATGGAATGTATCACCATTATGATTAGAGTTAATTAATGAATTCATTTTGCCATTATTGTACATAGGAAAAAAATATTGCTTGACATCAAGCTAACATAAATGAAAAAAATGATAAAACAGGAGCAAGAAAACCACATGTAAAATAAGGACAGGTGTACACTTTGTTTTATCTTAACATTTTAGATGCTTAAACATGTTAAAATTGAAATAATTCACTGTTCTTCTAGATAGTTTATTTCTTTTTCACCAAAGACAAGTTTCTTTTTTAAGCTTTTGCTTAGTGATTTTGTTTCCTTATTTTTACATTTAAGCAGAATTTCTAATCATGGTCCCAACTCACCCTGGACTCAAACTTAAGACCAAAATAGAAATTTCCTGGGCATTCTGAATGGTTGATTTATTAGGCCAGTTCTTGTAAGAACTGGAAAAAGTTTTTTGAACAACTTCTGTAAAAGGGTTTTGAAATGTTCATAGTGTATGAAGAAAGATTGTAAAGCGCAATAAATGTTTCTTAAACTGCTGCTCACCAATTGTGCTACAAAATTGAACTTGTTCTTCATTGATTCCTTTTGTGCTTTTAAAGCAAACTGTAGCAGTTAAGTAAAACTTACTCACTGTAAAATATTGGGAACTCCTGTATTTATGGGCTCAAAAGGACTCTTTCTCTTTGCCTTAGTAGTCACTTGAACACAAGAACTTGTAGAAGCAAGGATCATATATTTGCTGCAGTAAAAAGTCAAATAGTTAAACCTCTTGCAGCACTTTAGAAATAGCCACAGGAGGGTTTTTTTTCATTAATTTATCAAAGTACTAAACAACCTGACATTAATATTATGCAACTGATAAATGCTGGATACATAATTTTAATGGATTTAAACATCAGTAGAAATTTAAATATTCCATTGGATCAGGACCAATGTGCTCAGTAGCTTTGGATTTGAGCTCTGATGGAGTATTTCCCTTCGATGATCTTTTGCTACAAGAGAAAAGGTTGAAACCTGTAACTCCTGAAAGAAGCTCAGTTGTCCTGCAGGTAAAGTATGATGGACCATCTGTCAACTACGTTATAGTGTGCCTGTTACCAGCATGTGATCCTCTTCAGCACTGGTATGTGGCAGTTGTAACTAGCAGACCTCTGAGTATGATGGATCAACAGGACCTGGAGTGTCAGGATTTGTCGCTTGTGGGACCATTTCCCAGGTGGAGTAAGGATGTTGTAAACTTGTACCGTATGACTGCAATGAACAACAACGAGCCAGATACCTGTGCTTGCTGCTGCTGTTCTTCATTTCAGTAGCAGATAAATGTCACAGGGCAGTACAGAGTTTGCTCCTTTTCTAGCCTCTTTGTTCTCTCTGGATTTCTGTGTCATCCCTACTGCTCTAAGAGCTGCAGCAGCAGGCACCAAAAGTCTTCTGAATATAACATCCTAGAGATCACATGGCATGCTGTTATCCTTCTCTCCCCCCTGCCCCCCCCCCCATTTTTAATCTGTCAGCAGGTTTTAAACACCAAGGATGTTTTTAAAACACCTTTTTCTCCTGAGAATGTTTTAAATGAAGTAACAGGGTATGTCAGGTATATAGATAGATTTCTCATCCCTCAAGCTGAGCTAGTTCTGTTGTTTTCAGACATGATAAATCCCTGGGAAACTTAGCTAGTATAAAGGATAATGATGCTTCTGTTTAGAATTTATGAAATAGGCCACAGAGAAGACTTCTTTGTTTAAAAAAGAAAATACTCTTTCAGTGGACATTTTATTAATGAGAATTACAATACTGGAAAATCTGGTCTAGATTAGCAAAGAACAGTTACAGTGTATCCAAATGGAACTAGTTGGATAATTAAATTCATTTAATAGGTACTGAAATTTAAACCTCTTGATCCTTCTGACGTAAGCACAACTCTTAAAAGTCGTGGAACTTGATTCTAAAAGTGTAATGTGGGAGAGAAATGTTGAGACCATGATTAAGGATTTCAGATACCCTGGGAGGAAATGTATGCAGGAGTAAAACAATAGGCATTTAAATAAAGAAAAAAAAGAGGCAGGGAAAAAAAAAAAAAAAAAAAAAGAAAAAAACCCCAAACCGTAGCTATGAAATATAAAAAGTAACTTTAATAAAACACTGTAAGGTGTGCAGCTTATATCAGCAGTAATGAAGCAACATGACTGGGATAACCTAATGGGAAAGAAAGGACATTAAAGGTTTAAATAATTTAGAAACATCATGTTTTCACTATCCTAACACTTTTTTTACCTGTTCTGTGTTATCTTGTCTGCTTTGACTAGATGGTCTTCCATATGTCTGTTTTGGTTTCCTATTTTCATGCTTAGAATCCCCAAAGGTCCGTATGATTTCTCTTCTCATTAATAGAATATTTTTTTCAATATTGATTAGAATTTATAAAGTATGTGCAGTGTATAATATTTTCCTTCTCTTGATTTTTAAAAAGGAAAATTGTTTACTGTATTTTAATACATCTGTTAGGAGGATTGTAGCAAATGCCTGACAGACTGTCTGCTAAGTAAAAAGGAAAACGTTTCAGCAAGATTGGCATAAATTACGAAGTCCTGACAGTCCTAATACTGAGCTATGCCTAGTTTTTGTTTCTACTAACTAAAGTTATCTCTAAGCTTTTAACTGTGGTTTCTGTTTCACTGTCCCCTAAGATGCTGAAGGATAAACTTTCTGATTCAAGCCTATGGATTAGCTGAGAGGATAACATTTATAACAACAGTTGAAATGCCCCTGGGCAAGTATAAAGAAAAAGTACTCTATGAAAGTAGATTATTAACCCGTTTAAATATTGATCTCATCTTTTTCTCTTCCATGTTTATGTCTGACTTTTGTATCACCACTGGGTGATGCTGAAGCACGCAGGTAACACGTTATCATGTAGTACAATCCCTTTTTATCCAAGGGCATTTCTATTTTAATACTCTTCAATTTATGGTGGATCTCAAAAGTTCCCAACCTGTTTGTGCTTCCTCTGTCCATAAAGCTATAGCTTTCTTGGACAAAAAGGGTGTATTTTGATCTTTCCTTGCTTTCCTTTACTTCTGCAGAATGTTATTTTGGAACATAGTGGCCCAGGTTAGCTTGGTTGCTCATGTTTCGGCTGAGACTTTTCCCTTTTCAAAATGACAGTGTCCATTTTCTCTCTGTCTCTGTGTTTTAGCAGAGTTAGAATAGATGAGTTCAAAGAACAGTACTACTGACTTCTCTGTTTCTTCAAGTGCTCATTGGGAGGAGTAGGCTGACTGCATTTAGAAGTTAAAGTTATGCATCATGTGCCTGGTTGAGTGAAATAATAGTTTCCACACCTTGAGTTTTTTTAGGTGTCATTAAGATCTTAAATGAGTTTTCATTAATTATTGCTACAAGCTTCTTTTCTATAAACCCATCAGAAAGATGAAAGAATAGAACAGTTTAATTTGTAGTTCGTGATGATTTGGAGATGTTCTGTTCAAACACAGGCACTTAAGTGAACATTTGTATTTCATGCAATTGTAGTGCAGGCTTTTCCTTGGAAACTAAACATTATCTACTCTACCAGGTGCCATCAGCTGGTCATACATACATTTTCTAACCTTTTATAAAGCAGTCGATCCAGTGTTTCTGGAAGAGTGACCTTAACTTCTGGATAAATGGCTTCCCATTCCGTCTTACAGTTTTAAAGGTCAAATCTTGCTATATTTTTCTCACCCAAACTGGGATAACTGTTTTCAGATTGCACCCTAACCTATAACATTGGCTGTAAGAATATTTAGCTATAATTGCTTTCATTCCTAGAATTCAAATCACTTTTGATAGGATGTGAATTATCCTTCCTCCCGTTTTGCAGCTGGGGAACTGGAGCACAGAATCCTAAAGGTGATTTGCTCAGGGTTGCACAACAGGTAAACAGCAAAGCCAGGAATAGCCCTACGCCTTCAGTGCTTCAGCCACTAGACCACCCTGTCTTCATAGGTAGATGTTCTCTGATGGAAGCTTCACAGAAATCTACATTCCATGGAATCATTTGCTTACATATGA